ACCTTTGCCCCAATGCCTAGATCTCATCCTTTGCAGAACCCCCAAGTCCCACTCAATGTAGGATATCTATAAATATCCCATAAGCACTTGAAGCTAACCTCTACCATTCTATTATTCTATTAACTGTGGATGAGTTAACTCTTCCATCTCCTACCTCCTGTCAACAAGGTTTGTTTTATTACCTGACTGGAAGATGGCCTCCAGATACATATACTTTCCCGCAAGTTTCTATTCCTCCTGCACTCCTGTCCCAAACACAGAAAGTCACTGCTTCACCTATTCTTATGTTGTATACGCCAGCCATATTGTGCTTCCTGTTTTTGCACATGTAGTTATCATTGCTTTAAATAATGTTTACCTTCCTTCAGCCTAGTTCAAATGTCACCTTTTCATGGAATGATTATCTGAACAGGTTGCCTGTTATAAATGTACTTAGTACCATGTAAAAAGCTGCAAATATAATGTGTGATTTATGCTTAATTCTCTTCCCCTACGATACATATGCCCTGTGAGTAAAGGGTTTTGCTTACCGGCATCTAGCAGGCATTCTACTTTTGGACATCTTCATTACAGAGACCCAGAAGTCTCTTGAGGACAAGACTGTTTCTCAGTTATCTGTGCTCTTAGGATTTAACATCAAACCAGAACTAGCACTTGTAGTGCTTCCACTACCCCTCCCCCCCTCCTGTGGTTTGTCATTTCTCTAGCTAGGAGTATCCACCCTGTCCTGGCTGCTCATCTGGAATTTTTCCCCTCCATTTCTAACTACAGGACACGCCAGGAATTGGTAATATCCACTCAGGTAAGGCCTAAGGCAGTGTTTCTCAGATGGTAAGAAACAATTATTTTAAAGAATAAAACTGATTAAGTACTACCGGGGGCCCCTGGGTGGCTCAGTCAGTTAAGCTCAGGTCATGATCTCATTTTGTGAGTTTGAGCCCCATGTGGGGCTCTGCACTGACAGTGCAAAACCTACTTGGGTTTCTTTCTCTCCCCCTTTCTGCCCTTCCCTTACTCGCATTATCTCAAAGTAAATTTAGAAAAAATTTTAAAGTACAGTATGGAGTACTATCTTGTGGATAACAAGATAGAGTTGTATCTTGAATACATGAAGAACTCTCAAAACTCAGAAGTCATGTAAAAAGATGCTCATCAGAGTGGCTAAAATTAAAGATGGACTGTGTTAACGCTCATATACTGCTATCAGGAATGTAAAATAGCAGAACCAATTGGAAAATGGCTCAGGAGTTTAAAAAGTTAAACACATACCCACTGTTATAGGATACAGACATTACAAGATAAAAGAAAGCTTACCTGCACACAGGCTTGCAACACACATGGTCACAGCTTTATCTGCAGTACCTCCAAGCTGAAAACAACCCATACGCCCCTCAACAAAGCAACGACAGAGTAGTGCCCAACAAGGAAGGAATTGTTATGTGCAGCATAGATAAATCTCAAAACTGTTAGAGAAGCCAGACCAAAACCAGGTACGTCCTAGAAAATGCAAACTAGAGTAACAGAAGCAAACCCATGGTTCCCTGGGGCTGTGAAAAGGGATATGGGGAGGTACAGGAAATATTTCTAAAGGTTTTTCTTTTCAGATTGTACACTTTCAATGTGTGCAGCTGTATGTCAGTTATGCCTCAACAAAGGTATTAAGTATCAGCACATCATATCACATGTAAGGTGTGTTGCTTTAAATTAGTCCAGGGCCCTCAACTTCCCAAGGTCCTGAGTCTTGTTTTTGAACATTTCTAGTTATCAATCAGTTAAGAGCTTTTACCTAGGGCAGTTTCACAGTAGCCTAAAACTTAGAGTGCCTTAATTTCTGCTGAATGGGTCTTTTCCAGGAGCTACACCTCCCTGGATGGTCCAAGATGAGGAATACAGCTCTGGAAACCAACAAATAGGGCCCTCCTATGAAGAATTTCTTAAAGAAAGTAAGTAAAAAAAATTCCAGAGTGGGAATGGGTTAAGTTTCCCTACTCAAATAAAACTGTTTACTTCTTTGCAGAAGAAAAACAGAAATTGAAGAAACTCCCCCCAGACAGAGTTGGTGCCAACTTTGATCACAACACCAGCACCAGTGTAGGCTGGCTGCCCTCTTTCGGCCGCGTCTGGAATAATGGACGCCGCTGGCAATCTAGGTATGGGCCCAGTGCCAGGACCCCAACCCACTACCCCTTTGGAGAGATCTCAGCCTTCATCCTGTTAACCCTTCACTTTCTTTCAGACATCAATTTAAAACAGAAGCTGCGGCAAGGAGCAAACAGTCACATAAAGAAAAAAAGCCAAATGTTTCCTGATACTTTTCCAACCACCATGAGGCACAAAGCCAAGCCAACAACCCATACCTGCTCTTCTCTCTTATCCTTTGTAACTGCTTTTCTTAGGAAAAGACACATACCCACTTATTTGATTTAATAAAGTTTTATTTTCCAAAATGTACAGTTGGTGGTGGAATCTGCAAAAGAAAAAGAAAAATCACAATTATAAAGCCTTATGTAGCAGGGGGATGTAGACTTTCTATACCATGAGCCCGTAGGTTCTTGCCTACCTGTTCATGCATCTTCACCAGCAGCTGGGGCATCTCCACCCTTGGTGTTTCTGGTGTAAATTACTTGAGCTCTGTGCTTTGAGACGAGTTTAATAAGTCCTGGGGAGAAAATAAGGATAAGGTTTTCACATAATCCTATGAAATAAATACTTCACAGACATGAGAAATACTGAATTTGAGCATGAGAGTTTAATAACAAAGGCAAGCATGCCTATGTTTCTTGGTGATAATCTGATTTATCCTTTCTAAATGAGGGACCCACTATCTGCTCTTGGGATGATTACCCTTATTGCACTTTAATAAAACTTAAAAGTCACTATATTTCCATACTAGACACTCCAGGGGCTTAAAATATATATACTCCTATTAAAGTGAGACTATGAGTAGACCCACCACTCGATTTTTAAAACACAGAAATAAAAAAGGATTTACTATCAAAGCTTTTAATATTTTAGTAACTGTATTTCACTACATTTGGGTTACTTCTGTAACTCTGTATTTTGAGAGAGACCAAGAGAGTGTGAACAGAGAAAGGAGAGGGAGAGAATCTCGAGCAGGCTCTGCACTGTTAGCATAAGCCCAAAGCCTCCCATGAACTAGGAGATCACAACCTGACCCGAAATTAGGAGTTGGATGCTTAACCAACTGATGCCCCTATTCTGTAACTCTTAAAGTGGATTTATTCACTTGAGAACACAAGAAATCCTTGTGCTTCACCAAAATGACAAAGAGGTACATGACACAAAACTGGCCAAGAACCCCGCTTTGAGGTCTACCCTAGAGATAGCATGTTAGAATATTACAATCACTGGTTAGCCTGTGCCCGTTTTAATAAATTCCAGTAAAAAACACATTTAAGATGGCTAACATGGTCAGGCCAGTTTTACATGCAAAAGCACACTAGTACGATTTATCCCTCTCACCTTTACTAAGGAGCTCCTGAAGGGCTGCCCTGGCCAGGGAACCTCGAATCTTCAGTCTCTCAGAAACGACAGCTGGAGTTATAAGCTTATAATTGGGAACTTCCTTACAGAGTTTGTCGTACGTTGCTTTATCAAACAAGACCAGGTTATTGAGCTTGTCCCGAACTTTGCCTTTGGACCACTTCTGCTCCCAAAAGAAAAAGGACAGTCAGCGTTCCCTGGAAGAAATTACTCTTTCCCTCACCAAACCATCTGTGTCACCGCAACTTTTTTTCCATGGCCATAGGAATATACTGCAAAGTTGTCTGTTCTTGCCCTGCAGAAATCTACGAAATTTAGAATTTACAGCAATTCTGCAAACGAAGATTCAAGTAATCTGAAACCAAGATACAAAAAAAAGACCCCATTGCCATTTACGTTATCCAAGATAAGTTAGATTAAAAAGAAAAAAAACAACCACCCCCGAACACATCTGCAAGAGTTTCGGGTGTAGGCTAAGCCCCACTAAACCAATTAAAAGAACACCACGTGACCATCAGACTACATTCACACTTAGTGTGTACCACCCCATTCTTCCAAACACAAAACGGTTTGAGAGCGCAATTCTAGTCCTCGGACTCCAGACGCCACAACCGTAAAAGCCATTTGCTATACACGTCATTTATTACTACAGCTACACGGGCCCGGCGTCCCCAGTGTCTCCCACTCTTGGAGGACTCCACGCCTACCTTCTTTTTGGCCTTGCCCCCAGATTTGTTCACTGGGTCTTTGTCTTTTTTGGCCGATTTCCCGGCATCTTTCTTCTTCTTGTCGTCCTTGGGCGGCTGTGCGGAAAAGGGAGAACGCAGCCAGATCACACGGCAGCCCCACGCTCCCTCTGCAACGGCGCCCCCACCCCGCCCAAACCTCACTACCTGAGCACATGGGTGAAGCAATCCCCCCGCCCGCCCGAAGCAGCCCGGCAAGTCTGGGGCTCTGCGTCTGGTGCCGCCTCCACCCCGTCCCGGCGCTTCCCGGCTCTCACAGCCGCACCAGTTTCCCACTCGGAAGAGCTCACCATAGCGAAGCTCAGAGAGCAACAGCCAACACCGCAGCCTCGCTAAGATGTCGGACAAAAAAGGAAGCGGCGCTCACGCACGGGCCCAGAAACCTCCACCCTCAGCAAGCGTTTCCGGGGCAAGGGGCGGAGCCAGCGACGGAAGGTCGTAGGTCCAGCCCCTTCGTCCAGCGGGCAGTAGGGAGGGTGGTTGTCGTTCCCCAGCCGCGCACCCCGAACAGTGTCCGCGGCCTTTTGGACTTTGCCGCTAGTTGTGAGGTAGTCACACGTCGCTATCCCCTGGTCCTGGAAACTAATAAAGAGAGAAAACAATCTGCCAGCCTCCGTAACTACCCCCAAGATCCCGCTAAGCGTGGTGCTACAAGTGCGCAGGCGCCGGCTTTGCGAGGATGGGAGGAGGGGGCAAGGGGCGGGTCCCGCGACTGCGGTTCCGGGGCGGGGCCGTCTGGAAGAAGCCGAATCCCCGCCTCTGAGGGGCAGCGGCCGCAATGGCGATTTTTAGCGTGTACGTGGTGAACAAAGCTGGCGGCCTCATCTACCAGTTGGACAGCTACGCGCCACGGGCCGAGGCTGAGAAAACTTTCAGTTACCCTCTTGATCTGCTGCTCAAGCTGCACGACGAGCGTGTGCTGGTTGCCTTCGGCCAGCGCGACGGCATCCGGGGTGGGCTAGGATTGCGTCCGATGGGCGGGCCCGGTGCTGCGGAGTGGGCTGGTGTCTCTGCTGGGCAGTAGGGTTGGGGGAGAGGGGGTGAGGCCGGGTCGCTGGTCCCATCAGCGGAGTCCCCACGCTGGGGCTTCGTTGACCCTTAGCTTCACCTCTACAGTGGGCCACGCAGTGCTGGCCATCAATGGCGTGGACGTGAACGGCAAGTACACGGCCGATGGGAAAGAGGTGCTGGAGTACCTGGGCAACCCTGCTAATTACCCGGTGTCCATTCGGTTCGGCCGACCCCGCCTCACCTCCAATGAGAAGCTCATGCTGGCCTCCATGTTTCACTCGTAAGTCCCCCAACCCTGTCTAGTGCCTTTTGGCCTTCACTTGGCCCTTAGGCTAGCTGGATTAGTGTGGTTCTACGGGAAGTCTCCTGAGCAGCAGTGCTTATCTTTCTTTGCCTTTTCTTTTTTTTAAGCTTATTTATTTTGAGAGAGCACGCGCAAGCAAGGGAGGGGCAGAAAGAGAGGGAAAGGGTGAATTCCAGGCAGGCTCTGCAGTGTCAGCAGGGAGCCGATGCAGAGCTCGAACCCAGGAGCCAGGAAATTGTGACTTGAGCGGAAACCAAGAGCCGGACGCTCAACCAGCTGAGCCACCCAGGCGCCCCTCTTTGCCTCCTTTTAGGTCATCAGTTCTTGTGTTATGAAAAGAAAAAGAACGAGTCCAGTATAACTAGGCTTTAGATAATACTGGCAATGGTGTGATCTTGTGTAAGTCAACTTCCCTCAGCTTTAGTTTCTAAGTCTTTAAGGTAACTGAACTAAATGATCTTTAAGACCTTTTCCTGCTCTCAACTATAGTATGACATATGCTGGATAATTATAGTCATGGGGTAAGTAACCCTGGCACATATTCCCAGTGTTAATTTCACCCAAAGCTTTCAAGGTAAAATGCTTTACAGCAGAGTAGGAGTGTAAACTACATGCAAAGTTCAAATGAATTTTAAAGAAATTTTGGTGCTTCTGCTAGGCAATTGAGGAAGCTGCCTCTTCTTTTTTTTTTTTTTTTTTTTTTTTTTTTTTAATGTTTGTTTATTTTTGAGAGAGAGAGAGAGAGCTCCCAAGCAAGAGAGGGAGGGCAGAGAGAGGGGAGACACAATCTGAAGCAAGCTCCAGGCTGAGCTGTCAGCACAGAACCTGACCCGGGGCTCAAACTCACAAACCATCACACTGCCTCTTCTGACCTCTCAGAGTGTAATGTAAACTCCTCAGCAGCTAGGGTTACTTCAGTGGAAAAGTTTGAGCAGCACCCCTCCCTTAAAACAGTGGGGTGCATTCCCAACCTTACCTCCTTTGCAAATAGGCTGTTCGCAATCGGTTCCCAGCTGTCTCCAGAACAGGGCAGCTCAGGCATTGAGATGCTGGAGACCGACACGTTCAAACTGCACTGTTTCCAGACACTGACAGGTATGCGTCTTCAGATAGGCCAAAGGGATGCACTGGGGGCTGGTTGGGGGAAGGGACTGACCAGAGACAACTTTGGTAAGCAAGGGGGTGGTGGTTAGCTTTTCCTGGGACAATTGCACGGACACGTCTGTTTTGCAACTCCAAAACCAATATTTAATCTGATGCCGGTTTTGCCCACACCACCCAGCACGCTCGGCCATGGTTATCTTGTGTGCAGATAAAACCTTAATGTTGCACATGTTTTGGTAAGTGTTTCCAAATGAAACTTGAATGCCAAATGGAAATGACCTTTGGATCATGTCATTGCCTCACTCCCTTAATGGGGATAATTGAAAACCTCCTGAATTTGTTTCCTGCCTGGCACTTGCTGCCGAGGGACCACATGACTAGGAATTAAGTGACAGAGCTAGAAATCAAAGCTTGGTCTCAATCAGTTGGGTGATGTGATAAAGTCATGTTACTGCTCTGGTCTTACAGATCCACAGTCTTGGTGTTCCTGCTTTACGGAGCAATAGGATAAAAGTAAAAATGGGCTTATGAAAATGCTACACACACACAGGATGATGTTATTTGCTTTTCTCCACTCTTTGGTAACCATTCCTGGCCCTTCTCCAGGGATCAAGTTTGTGGTACTGGCAGATCCCAGGCAAGCTGGAATAGATTCTCTTCTCCGAAAGATTTATGAGATTTACTCAGACTTTGCCCTCAAGAATCCATTCTACTCCCTGGAAATGCCTATCAGGTAGGTAGTCGCCCTCCCCAGATATTGGTCAAAGCGTCCTTGCCCTTCTCTTTGTGCTCTTCCCCAAAGATATTTTTCAAAAGTGTAAGAAGAGTTATTTTTCAAATAAAACAAAAGTGACTAGCCTTTTCTTGCTATTTTGAGAGACTAAAGACTTTCCTGTGGGGTTCATATCCTTCTTCATGGAAGAGTTTCCACTGGCTCTACCTCGGCACCCAAAGTGGGGAAGAGTCTGAGACTTTACACTTTGTCCTCATCTGTGCCACTTGGGTCTGGCCTAGGTGTGAGCTGTTTGACCAGAACCTGAAGTTAGCCCTGGAGGTGGCAGAGAAGGCTGGAACTTTTGGACCTGGGTCATAGGCTGAGCCTGCAATGGATCTCCCAAATTTTGAGAGATCCTGCAGCAGGAAGTCTGCTGTATCCACTCCGATGGAGATCCTCACAGCTTCCTTAGTGCACTTGACAATGGGAGGGTGCAGAGCCTGATGACACATACTGATCCCTGAGCCTTAATACTGCTCTCTGCCCTCCCGTGTCTATCGTGGGCCTATTTCCCAACTCTGTACAGACTTATTTATGGAGGGAGTAGGTCCATAAATGCTAAATAAACATTCCTTTGATCTGTGTTTGCTATCCTAATTGATGGTTTGGGGGGAAAGGATCTGGTGGGTAGACAGGAATGAGAAAAGAATTCTGAGATGAGATATGTTCCAATAGAAAAAAATAAGTATTCATTAAATGAATGAACTTGGGGCTTTAAGTCAGGACCTTGGTCTAGTTCCAGAATTGCTGATTTCTAGGGTGATGGTGGAATATTTATCAAATGTTTATAGCCAGCCTTTACTGCTTTATCAAACTTAAACCTCACCCTAATCTCAGGGGGTACATTCTCCTATGGACAAGAGATTTAGCAAGGTACAGACACTCTATGCCTCAGAGTCTCAAAGCTGATTACTAACTGCATGAGTTTGAACCCAGGCTTTCTGACTATGCTATCATAAGCCACTGTTCGGAGCGCCTAGGTGGCTCAGTCAGTTGAGTGGCCGACTTCAATTCAGGTCATGATCTCACAGTTTGTGAGTTCGAGCCCCGTGTCGGGCTCTGTGCTGACAGCCTGCAGCCTGCCTCCGATTCTTGTTTCCCCCTCTTTCTGGCCCTCTCCTACTCACCCTCTATCTCCTTCTCTCAAAAATAAATAAACATTAAAAAAAAAAATTATAAGCCACTGTTTACTGATTCCCTCCATCAAAGTATTTAATTTGTCTGAAACCCAGTAGCTTCATCTCTAAAATGATCATTGAATTATACAGTGTAAAGTTGAAGGCAAAGGAGACATAAGCTAAAAGGAGTATACGTCAGATCTCCCATTCCAAGGAAATGAAGTCTGTCCTGTTTGGGGTGGAAAGAGCAGGTAGCAAGAGAATATTTTCCAAGGAAAACTGTCTCTGGTCTGTAATACCACTTTTGAAAGAATGGCTCACTGTGTTTAGTATCAAATCTAGTTTTAATCTCTTTATCAAGTCTTCCTCCCTCCCACCCAGGCCCTGGTGTTCCCAGGGTATTGGTGAGAGTGATGGCCTCCTCTCTGCCTGGAATCTTGAGGTATTGGCAAGAACAGTCACCGTGTGCTAAGAGGCCTTAGGGCAGAAATCATGGCCCATTGGTGCCCTGCAGCTACAGGAGGAGCCTCACCTCTTGTGGGGATGGGGTGGGGTGGGGTGGGGTGGGGGTGGGGCAGGGTCCAGGAGAGGAAGAGGGTATTGGAGACTCCCTCACTGTAGGGGTTTCCTGTTTGAAGGCAGGAAATTGGAGCTAATGAAGTCCAAGAACAAAAGTTGTCTTTTAAATAGAGCACAGGATGGGGAGCTGGGACCTCATTAGCCACTGATAACTTCCAGCGCCACCTGGGCGAGGGAAAAGGAGCAAAAAAGGCGATCCAAGGTTCATCGGTAGCCGGAGCAGCCCCACTTTCTTTCTCCCCGCCCCCGCACCTCCCCAGCCCTGTGCAGGGGAAGGTCCACAGGTGGGAGAGGATGCACAGGTGCCTGTACTGTCTTCACTCAGCCTTCTTGGGCACTGGGCCCATCTTGGTGCGGATGTTTCGTAGCAGAAAGAAGGCGACTGTGCTGACTGCACAGATCACTTCGGCCACCCAGAAGGCTGTGCTCCAGCTATAGTGCTTGGCAATGGTGCTGAAGGGCAGCCCAGCCAGAAAGCCGCCCACTGCCAAGGAGGAGGGGAAGAGTCTGGGTCATTTGTGAGGCTAGGGCCGGCGGGGCCTGCCCTAGACTATAGCTGGCTTAAGTGCGAGGCACAAGTAGGGGTGAGGTGGAGACTCCGCTTACCGTTGGCCATGAGTCCCACAATGGCATGGGAGGTGCCGCACAAGTTGGGAGGAGCACTCTCATTGGCTATAACTCCGAACAAGGCAATGGGACCGTAGGAGGAGAAACCGAACAGGGCTCCCAACACCAGGATCCAGAGCTGCAAGGGCAGCACAGAGTGGCATTCAGAGTTTGAGAGAGCCTACCTACCTATCTACCTCTGCCAGAGGACAGAACAAATAACTGTAGTAAGGACACAGGAAATGACCTCCCTCACCCCACTTTCTGATACAACGGACAGGGCAGAGCTAGAGGAGTGAGCGCCACACCGAGCCAACCCGAGGGCTTGTGTGGGTAGGTAAAGGAGGTACAGAAGCCATCCCTCCAAGTTAGATGCTATCTCTTCTCAGAACTCATGCTAGCTGGATTGGCTAGGGGCAAGGAAGACAGTAGGACAAGGGTAAGACAAACCAGGAAGAAAACCAGAGATAAGGCACCTCGTGCTCCGTAAAGCCTGTGAGCTCAGCGAGAGGGTGAAGAGCTGGAGTCCAGAAAGCAACATCCTAGAGGAGCACAGGAAAGAAAAGGAAACCAAGTCCCGAGTCCAGGAGGGGCACCAAAGTACAAAGAGGACACGAGGTAAGACAGACCTGGAAAGGGAGATCTGAGAGGCAAAGAAAGGCCTGGGCCAGGGTGGAGCCAGGGAGAGGAAGCCTGAGAGTCGGCGGCCCTTGCTTTCTCATCCTTGTGCCTGCTGTGGGCCAGGCCCTCCTTATTTACCTTGGAGGAGTCACTGGTCACAGTGACCCGGAAGAGGTACATGGACACGGTCATGCCAGCCATCATGAGCAGCAACAGGCCATGGCGAGGGTTCCCGTAGATGGATAGGCCTGCCTGTGGATACAGTCCCAGCAATGTCAGGGCCTAAAAGCAGCAGAGAACCTCCACCCCTGGACTCTGATACAGCAGGGCCTCTGCTGACAGGTCTTTGGCAATCCCACCACAGCTCTTGGCCCCGGGCAGCTCTGGGAGGCCCCGGGACCTGCTCGTTGTGTTCAGAGGCCAAACTCCACAACATCCCTTCCTCCCCCACGGGGCAGGGTCGGGACATGTGCTGGCAAGCTGCACCTGCTTCCTCCTCAACCCCAGTTTTCCTGGGGCTGTGGAGAAGCCCACTGCCAGGCTGAGAGACATTCCAGCTCTCCTTGACATCATTTAAAGCCTTTTCCCCAAGAGTCTTAACCTTCACACCCCCAGCGAATAGCGGCAGCCTGGAATCATTCCAACCTCCCCCAACCTAAACTGGCTTATGCCAGCCTGCCCGTGCCCCAGGGCTCCCGCCTCTCTGGTGCCTGTCCCAGTCACGCTGGGAAGATTTAAAGGGACCCTCCTCCTTCCTGTCCTGTCTGCCCACTCACCTTTGCCATGGCCCGGTCTGACAGGTAGCCAGCTGCGATGCTGCCTACAAGGCCCCCAACCTCCAGGGCACTCATGTAGGAGCTACCTGGAGTAGGGAGTTGTGGTGGGAAGAGGGAAAGGAAGGGTGGGTGTTACACACTGGGGTTGTCCCAGACTGGCTTAAACCCAGAGAGGTACAGGGTCCCCAAGGGTGACCGACCACAGCTGTCTGAGTAGTGCCTGGCCTCAGGGAAAGAAGGAAGGGATAAAGAGAAGCTGGGCCTGAACTTCCCATCCCCTTCATTGACTCCTGCTTCCTAGGCCCACCCCCATTCCAAACTCATCTTACCCACGAGGACGGATTGTCCTTTCTCCTGGATGAGGAAGAACTGGCCCCAGTCAGTACAGCAGGTCTTTACTCCAAATACCACGAGGTAGCCGGTGGACAGTACCCACAGGTAGGGGGACAGCAGCAGCTCCTGTAAAGTACTCTCCTCCTTCGAGGAGCCTGGGGGCAGGAGGAGGCCAGGCCTGAGGCTCCACTCTTGCTGCTCTGCCCCGACTGAGCCCCCACCACTCATTAACCAGCCACAGGGCCAGAGTCCATCCACACAGCCAGGGACCAGCAGGAAGGCACCCCTTTACCCACTGTTCTACCCTGTCCCCTCCTCTATAGGCCTCAGCAAATGAAACAGGGACCAGGGCACATGGAGGAAGGCACCCAAGCCACTTAAGCTTAGGATGCTGTCCAGGACAGGACAGGGAAGTCTGGCTCTGCTGTGAGGAAGGACCGGGATACAACATGAGTCGCACAGCATTTGTTGGCTCTGCTGCTTGTCTGGTACTTAAGTGTCTCTTGGAACGGAGTTTTATTTACTCCCCACCAACTTGCCACCACCATCCCTCCCCCTGCCTCCATCGGCTAGCACAGGGCCAGGCATACAGCCAGACCTCAATGAAAGTCTGCCAAATGAATGGTGGATGAAGGTGCCCCAGTGATTTGGCTTGGGTGCGTGCTCACCCTTCTTGTCCTTGGAGGGGGCGGGGTCCAGGTTCCGGAGCCCAACGTCAGCGGGTTCATTGTGGATGAGCAGGAGACAGAGGAAGGAGACAACTACACAGAGCGCCCCAGACAGGGCCAGCGTGCTGCGCCAGCTATAGCTCTGGGCGAGGATGGTTGCCAGGATAGGGCCCAGCCCTCCAGCCAGGTTCATGCTGGTTGACAGAATGGCCCACCAGGTGCCAAACTGAGATGGCTCAAACCACTGTGGGGCAGAGGGTTCAGAGTAGGTGCCCACGTTAAACACGTTGAAGGTGAGGGTCAGGTGGGGCAGGGGCAGACCTAGAAGCTCACATTACAGGGACGAGGAAGAGGGCGCCTCTACTTGGCAGGGCCAATTCCCTCATCTGCCACCTGATCCCACCATGTTTAGCTCCTAAAATATCTCGACGAGCAACAGGAGTTGGACTGGAACTCCCGAGGAACCCGCTCGGGGATGGGAGTGCTGGTACTCCCACATGCCCTGTAGGTATCCCCTCGACCAGTCTCAACTGGCTTCTTGGGAGCAGACACTCACCTTCCGCAGGATCTTCCCACAGGGAGGCCAGCCCAGCCCCTGTGCCAGGCCATTGAGGAACCAGAGAGCAGCAAAGACAGGTACCATGGAGCTCCAGGAAAAGACTATGTTGACCAGGCCGACCAGAAGCAGCCCAGAAGAGAAGAGCCAGCGGGCACTCATCTGGTCAGACAGCACCCCGCTCACAAACTTGCTGATGGCGTAGGCTGCCGACTGGCTGCTGGTGATGAGCCCTGCAGGGGAGGGGAGCAGGAAGCAGCACACCTAGGGGGTTAGGGGCCAGGGCAAGGGCACAGGAGGGATGGAGGAAGGCATGGGGTCACGTGTGTAGAGGTGCCTGGCAGGGTGAGATAGGTTCCTTCCAAGGGGACCAGAAGCAGCCTGTGTTGGAATCCCAGCACCCTTTCAGGGGGCGCCGCTACCCCTCCTCACCGCCGGCGCTAGCCCCAGGCTGACCCTTGACTTTTCAACCTGGAGAGTTCCAGCGGCAGCTGTCAGGGGGCAAGAAGGGGAGAACAGGGCAGCCCCACCCTGGGATTTACCCATGCCTGATTACATTTCCTCCTCACCCTGGATGCCGACCCAGGGCTTCTAGCAGTTCCGTCACCCCCACCTCTGGGCATGGGGCAAAGAGCTTAGAATTGGAATCAAGGACGTTATTCCCCCTGAAATGTAGCGTGCGGGGCCACGTGAAGTTTCTGTGCCAAGTCTCCAGTTCCCATTGCTTACGACGTCAGTGGCCAGCGTGCACCCTGTGGTCTTAGCACGCACCCACGAGGTGTGGAAACCATGCCCAGAAGCCCCCTAAACATACTCGGAATAAGCCAGACCTCTGGGGGCGCGTGTGGGTCACAGGCACACAAACACACATCACATAGGCAGCCCTCATCAGACGCGTATCGACTACACTCCTGGTGCTTAGCCCACAGCCAGGCGTATGGTTTTCAGAGTCCGGTCGGCGTGTGCCGACTCTCCCTACCCTCCACTGTGCAGACGCTCCACACACGCTACGTGCCTTTATGCACGACACTGCCACCAACACCAACTTGTCCTACGGGTCCTGGGTCCCAGGGCCCACCACCCTGCCCTTCCGTGGCTCACCCAAGTCGTCCTTGTCCAGAGGGATCTCCTCCACCAACGACGGCATGACAAAGGAGAAGGTCTTGCGGTTGAAGTAGTACAGGCTGTAGCCTCCAAACATGGCTGAGAAGATCACAGCGCGGTAATAGCCGTAGCCTTGGGCGGCCATGGTGGAAGGGAGCAGGCCCCAGTGGCCAAGACGCGAAGCCCTCTCCGACCACAGCTCCTGCCTGTGGCTCTCTCAGTGACCAGATCTGCTGAGTTAGGCTTTCTCTGTTCCCTCCTCCACCCAGCCTCCCAGGCTCCCTTTATAGCCACCTTCTGGACAATCATTAAGCCTGGGGCAGCTCGTAGGGAACCCAGTGTCCTGAGGGAGACAAGAAAACAGGAGATTACTGTCGGAGAATCTGTGGGGGCTGGAGGGGGTCCCAGAGGGAGGCGCTGCCCAGAAGCCAGCACGCTGTGTCCCTAGAATTTCTGCCTTTCTCCGCTCTTCCTTGTCCGCCTGCCTGTGAAACCAGCTGTGATTAAAGGCTCAACCTAATTACTTTTGTCTGCCTGAGCCCAGGGGAGGCAGGGGTGGGATAAAACAGAGCTGCCCTCTCTAGCCCTGCTCCCTCAGCCACCTACCTTCTCATTCATTCAGCCAAGGTTTACTGGTTGCCAGACACTGCACTAGGTGCTCGGTTAGTTTCTACACACACACACAGACACATACCCCCACTTCCAAGCCTTCTTAGGGCTGCTGACTCAAGCCCTGTAACTCCCAATGCCTAGCACACATCGGGATGTAGCTGTTTATGGATAGTTGCAGAATTGTAAGCGAGGGGAACTTCCCAGCGCAAGCCCCTGTTGCACTGAAAGCCCCTGTAAAGCCTGCGGTCATGGTCACTCAGCTGCCTCTGGTCCCTTTACTCTATGACGCCAGTGTGGGGTGCCCTCTGGCTGGCTGGGGGCTGCAGGGCGAGTGACAGCACGACCCGTGAGCGGGAAGGTCCACCCGCGGACTTCAGGCTGCACTGCCGAGCCCGCTAGCGTTCTGGGGCCCCGGCAACACGCCCCCGGGCTTTTCCGCTCGATTAGGAAAGCAATTGGAGCAGAAGGCGTAGGCGAGAGCCGAGCAGGCGACCGCTCATAGTCTCCCGGAGGCTCCTCGCTCCAGGCGCCTAGTGGCTCAGCCCAGCAGGACGGGGCCAGGCGCAGGATCTCGGCACCTGCCCAGCCCCGTGTCCTCAAGCTACCCAGGACACCTGACTCGGGCTGCGAGGCCACAGACCCGGCAGCCGGAGAGGTACGGAGACACCGGACTGGTGCGACAAAAAGAAGCAGGTGCATGCTGGTCCGGAGCAGCGCCTCAGAGGCCCCCAGACTCAGGAACTGCCCCTCATCCCAGAAGAGGCAGCTGCAGGAACACCTCCGCTTTGGATCGGAAGTTACGGCAACCTTTACTGGGGCTCTAACAAAGGAGCCCCAAGACCCGAGACTCCCCCTCCAGCCCCGCCTTCAGGTGGCACCCCTCCCCAGCATTTGTCCCGCTACCTGCACGCAGGCGGGAGCCGGAATAGGACAGAGCCCGGAGGCGGGACCGCATGCGCATGCGCATGCGCTCGCTAGGGGGCGGGGCCTCCGCCTGCGCCTAGCTGGCTGAGAGCCAAGTCCACCTCCAAGGGTGTAGTCCAAAGCTGCCCGTAGTACTGGTCCTTGGGTGAGAACAGCGCCCCTTAGGGGCTGGACTCGTAGGTCCCTTCTTTAACCGATGGCATTCAACATACCAGTTTTTAGTGAGCGCCTCCCACTACCAATCACTGTTCCGCGTTAACAGTCTGGAAAAGGCCTTGCAGAGAGCACAGTCTTTTCTGTAAGAAATTAAAGCGGTCTTCAATAAATACAGTATGAACAGTTGATTTGTAATCAGACTGCTGGGGACAAAGTTAAGACAAAATACACGGGGTGTTTAAAGTGCCTGGCCAGGGGCGCCTGGGTGGCTCAGTCAGTTGAGCGTCCGACTTCGGCTCAGGTCACGATCTCGCGGTCCGTGAGTTCGAGCCCCGCGTCAGGCTCTGGGCTGATGGCTCAGAACCTGGAGCCTGCTTCCAATTCTGTGTCTCCCTCTCTCTCTGCCCCTCCCCCGTTCATGCTCTGTCTCAAAAATAAATAAATGTTAAAAAAAATAAATAAATAAAAAATAAAGTGCCTGGCCAGGAATAAACCTTAAATTCTAATCCTGGACCCATTACATTTTAACAATGTGACCTTGGGTAATAATTTCTACGAACCCCAGTTTCTTACCAACCTCATAGGTTCATGTGAGGACTCACTAGAAGATTTATTATTATTTTTTAAAGATTTTATTTTTCTAATTATTCTCTAAGTGGGGCCCGAACTCACAACTCCAAGATCAAGAGTCACATACTCCACCAGCTGAGCCAGCCAGGAGCCCCTCAACAGAAGATTTAGATAAGAATTTAGAAAATTTAGGTAATCGCTTTCACAGACTACTGGAGAATTGCTGAAAGAATTCTAAGTGTTCCAAAGTTGACAGCAAAGATCTTTTAGATTAGGAAGGTGATCAGGGAAGGGAGGAGAAGCCTGCAATCAGCCACCACCAGTGCCACTCCAGAATGCCTCATGAAAGCTCTTATTTTATTTTTATTGTGTTAACGTGTATTCATTTTTTGAGAGACAGAGAGAGCACAAGTGAGGGAGGGGCAGAGATAGAGGGAGACACAGAATCTGAAGCAGGCTCCAGGCTCTGAGCTGTCAGCACAGAGCCCAACACAGGGCTCAAACTCACAAACTGTGAGATCATGACCTGAGCCAAAGTCAGATGGGCAACCGACTGAGCCGCCCAGGTGCCCCTTGATCGGATTCGGATGAGAATCGTGGGTGGGTTCGGTATTTCCCCTCATTTCCGGACTGGGTACCCAGAACAATGAATGCAGCCAGGGATTCCCATGAGCAGAAAGATGAAGCATTCAGCCTCCCAGATGACAATCTTGGATCTAGCAATTGGGAGGCAGCCGATTTAGGAGAAGATAAAAGTAATGAAGAACTGGGAGTCTTACTATCAGCAAAGTACGGATAATAAACTATCAGAAAGATATTGAGGACATTGTAGACTTGGCTTCAGTGAGGTAGGAGGATCATGGCACAGAAGGTAATATGGCTGGAGATGATGATGATGATGATGATGATGATGATGATGATGAAGATGATGATAATGATTCACCTGATTCTGAAAGTCCAAATGACTCTGAAAGTGGTTCACGGAGAAAGAAGAATCTGCTGAAGAACTCCAAGCTAACTGAGCACCCGGATGAAGTGAAGGATCCCCAACAAAACTAAAAGATAACCTACTCAATGGGAGAAGATATTTGCAAATGACATATCCAATAAAGTGTTAGTATCCAAAATATATAAAGATACTTTATACAAACTCAACACCACAAAGCAAATAATCCAATTAAAAATGGGTGGAAGAGGGATGCCTGGCTGGCTCAGTCAGTAGAGCATGCAACTCTTGATCTCAAGGTTGTGAGTTCAAGCCCCACATTGGGTACAGAGATTACTCAAAAATAATTAATTTTTAAAATAGGCAGAAGACATGAATAGACATTTCTCCAAAGACATACAGATGGCCCACAGACACATGAAAAGATGCTCAACATCGCTCATTATCAGGGAAATGCAAATCAAAACCACAATGAGATGGGCTGCCTGGGTGGCTCAGTCGGTTAAGCATCTGACTCTTGGTCTCGGCTCAGGTCATGACCTCACAGTTCATGAGTTCCAGCCCCGTGTCGGGCTCTGCTCTGACAGTGTAGAGATTGTCCCTTCTTGGGATTCTCTCTCTCTCACTCTGCCCCTCCCCCACATGCAATCTCTCTCTCTCTCTCTCTCTAAATAAACTTAAAAAAAAATGAGATTTCACATCACACCTGCAGAATGACTAAAATCAAAAGGACAAGAAACAAGTGTTGGAGAGGATGTGGAGAAAAAGAAACACTTATGCACTGTTGGTGGGAGTGCAAACTGGTACAGCCACTGTGGAAAACAGTATGGAGGTTCTTCAAAAAATTAAAAATGGAATTACCATATGATCTACACTACTGGATATTTACCCAAAGAACATGAAAACATTCAAAAAGATATATGTACCTCTATATTTACTGCAGCATTATTTACAACAGTCAAATCATGGAAATAGCCCTATTGTCCATCAATACGTGAATGGATAAAGAAGATGTGATAGTGTCACCTGGGTGGCTCAGTTGGTTGAGCGTCTGGCTCTTGATCTCTGTTCAGGTCACGGTCTCATGGTCATGGGATCAAGCCCTGTGTCGGGCTCCACGCTGATGCCTGGAGCTGCTTGGGATTCTCTTTCTCTCTGTCTCTCTCAAAATAAATAATAAACATTAAAAAAAAGAGAGAGAGATGTGGTGTGTGTGTGTGTGTAACTCAGCCGTAAAAAAGAGTAAAGTCTTGCCATTTGCAACACCATGGATCGATCTAGAGAGTATAATGCTACGTGATATAAATCAGAGAAAGACACATACCACATGATTTCATTCATATGTGGAATTTAAGAAACAAAACAAAGGAACAAAGAAAAAGGAGACAAACCCAAAAACAGGCTGTTAACCATAGAGAACAAATTGGCAGCTGCCAGAGGGGAGGTGGGTGAAGGCTGAGTAAAATAAATGAAAGGGATTAAGAAGGTTCTTATGATGGGGTGCCTGGGTGGCTCAGTGGGTTAAGTGTCCAGCTCTTGATTTCGGCTCAGGTCATGATCTCATGGTTCGAGGGATCAAGCCCTGTGTTGGGCTCTGTGCTGGCAGGGAAGAGCCTGCTTGGGATTCTCTCTCTCTCTTGCTCTCTCTCTCTCTGCCCCTCCCCCGTGCATGTGTGCTCTCTCTCTCTCTCTCTCTCAAATAAACTTAAAAAAAAGTATACCTATCGTGATGAGCACTGAATAATGTATAGATATAGAACGGTTGAATCACTCTATTGTACACCTGAAACTAATATAACGCTGTATGTTAACTATACTGGAATCAAAATGAATATAAATAAAAGCCTTATTACAATGGACAGTGGGGGACTATACAGCACAGACTTTTACATTATAATTATTTAAAAGAGGGGGCGCCTGGGTGGCGCAGTCGGTTA